TGCCAACAACATCAACAACAACAACTTTCATCTAAACAACAACCACAACAACATCAACAACAACAATTTTCATCCAAATATCAACGACAACAACATCAACAACAACAATTTTCATCCAAACAACAACAACGTCAACAATAATTTTCATCCAAATATCAACAACAACAACATCAACAACAACAATTTTCATCCAAGCAACAACAACAACAATTTTTATCCAAACAACAACCACAACAACATCAACAACCACAATTTTCATCCAAACAACAACCACAATAACATCAAAAACAACAATTTTCATCCAAACAATCACTACAACATCAACAACAACAATTTTCATCCAAACGCAAACAACAACAACATCAACATCAGCTCTAGTTACAATTTAACGAAAAACAGCAACACAAACATCAACGTAACCGAAGACTATAAATTTTTCAAAAACAACAACAACAACACCTCCAATAACAACAATAGCAACAATGACATTCACAAAAATAACGACAAAAACAACAGAACTACAAACAAAAAGAATACCAAAAACAGCAAAAACATTGCGAAAAATAAAACCAGCTTCAGCGTTCAGTCCTTCCTTGCATCAATATCAGGAGAGCAACATCTCGCAGCTGCCAACATCAGCAAAAACAACATCAACAAAAACAACATCAACAAAAATGACGTCACCATCAACATCAACAACAACGACAACAACAACAACGTCCTACACAAGAGTCCAATGGTTGATGCTGCAAATATTGGTGATGTAGAGACAGCAGAGATGGTGATAGTTGATGACGTCATCGTAAAAACTAAGAAATTCCCATATGAAGGTTATGATGATGGTGACGACGATGAGGATGATGATGATGACGATGACGATGATGATAGTTATGATGAGATGATGGAATGATGATGATGATGAAAATGATGACGATGACAGAAATAGCATTTTCCGGAAGAGAGCTCCTCCATTTGTACATCAACGGACATGCGATTGACTTCATTCACTCCATGGAAAATGACAACTCCTGGAGAACTTCAAAATCATTACTACTGCAGTCAAACGTCCAAACGATATCAGTGATGCTGCGCAAATCATCCGCATCTACCGGTTTTCACGGTTTCGCTCTCTGGACCGATAGCTACCGATACAATACCGATCAATGTAACTGGAGATGTACCTGCAGTAAACCTGGCGACAACTGGTGGAGAATCGATTTCGATCCAATTAATATACCGAAGGCCAAATTTATCGGCTTTAATATGAAGAAAGGTTTATATAGTAACAATTTGAGTCCTATTATAACCGACCTGCCCTTGAAAACAAAAATAATCGGCATCAGAGGTGATCATTTAGAAGATAATGAAACAAGCTACGCTTTTTGTTTTTTCAAAAAAGGTGAGTCGCACGATTGGATGGTCTTTGTTGAATACAAGTTATGTTTGAAATTTTTTATTTATGTTATGTTTGCTTTTTTGAACTTTCTGTCATCATTAGTAGTAACCTGTTTGTTTGTTCGTGTTTGTTTGTTCGTGTTTGTTTGTTTGCGTTTGTTTGTTTGTTCGTTAGTTTGTTTCTTTTTTACAGATCCAGCTGCTGATCATCAGGACGAAAGTTTGTTTTTCCATTAAATTATTTTATTATTTCATCATTTAGTAAATTATTCTATACAGTGAAGCAACATTTTTTGCAAACAACAAATTATGAACCAAAAAAACATTCAAAAATCACCACCATCACCGACAACGAAAACATCATCACCAACACCAACATCATCACCAACACCAACAACAACACCAACAACAAATTCTTCTCAGTTCTGTATGTGACAGGAGACAGCAAACTCAGCCTATACATTGACGGGAGAGAGATGGGCCTGAAGCACTGGCACACCTGGCACCAGTTCGACAGGGTCCACATCAAAAACAAAACCATTCACAGCATCGCTGCCATCATTGAAAAACCGCACGGAACCGACCGCGGATTTGCCCTCTGGTCTCAAAATACCGATCTTAATACGGACGGCGCTACCGACTGGAGATGTACTGGCAAATATCCGGGTTCGCATTGGTATAAACCGCATTTCAACACCGAATCATGGCCGATGGCGAAGATCAGTAAAAGGCGGGAAGTTAATTTTGCGCAGACGATTTTGTTGCAATTCAAGGGAGATCTGAATTGGATTTGGTCGGCTGAACCGTCTGACAAAAGAGTTTATTGCCGTCTAGATCTAGGTTCGTTTTATATTTGTTAGACTTTTTGAGCAGCTTTTACTGTAAATTTCAAACAATTTTCAAATTTACCAATTCCAAATATAAAAAAAGCAAATAAACTCATTTAAACGAAACTGAGAAAAAATAAATTTCACAACTTGTAACCTTTTCACGTAGATATCTGTAAAGAACCAGCAGCCAGCAACTATTCATCTTCACATGTGGCACACATCAACAACAACAACAGCAACAACAACAACATCGATGACGTCATCAAACATATTGATCACGACATCAAAAGACTAAAAGATCATTCCAAAAAACTATCAGACAGGAACAAGCTATTCAAAGCCGTTTTAGACCTACTGCAAACAAACGATGACAACGATGAGAGTGCTGATACAGAAAACAACAACAACGACAACATTAACAACAACAACAACAACAATGATATCAACAACGTAAATAATGATAATTTTTGGGCATCGCAAAGAAGAGCATTCATCAAGGAGCTTATAAGGAAATATACACTGAGAAACGAGATAGCTAAAATCCTGAATCTACTCGATAAATATCATAGCTAATTTTTTCTTACTAAAATTTAAATTACATTTTTAAATCATAAAATTATCATTCTTCTCATTATTACAAATATTATCACCAATTTTGCATACTTTTTCATTCATGTTAGTTAAGTTTTCCAAGAGGGTTTCTAGGACAGTTAATTTTATTCTATTATTAATTTTATTTTTTATTATTGTCCTTGTGAATTATTATTATTACAATAATTTTGTTAAAATTTATTTAAGAAAAATTTATAAAAAATTTCTTTAAAAACTTTTTATTTCAAAACGAGCTGTGCAACAAAAAATACAAAATAAACAAACAGAACTAAGGTAGCAAAATAATTTTTTCTATTATAACACTATCTATTTATTATTGAGTTTACAAGGATTTAATGGAATTATTGGTTAAGAAATCTCTATATATGTTTTTTTTATTGTTTAAATAGGTAATCAATCTATGGTGGGCACAAAAAATAAAAGAAACGCATAAAATATGTGTCTTCTCTGTTCATTCATTCATTTACTCATTCATTCATTCACTCATTCATTCTTCCAATCATCATTCACTTGATGAATGAAAATCGGAAAAAAAACCAATTTCACGTTCCAACAAAACGCCAAGAGCGGATTAAACACCCCAAAAAGACAGCAAGCAAGCAGCCAGGCAGACAGACAAACATGAAACCTCCTCCTCCTCAAAACTCCCTCTCCTCCCTATCCCTATTCCTTCCTCTCCCTCTGCCCCTCTTGTAAGGAAACGTGCCAGCTGGTTCTTCAGGGAAGGGGTAAGCCTTGTCAGTCTTCATGGAGTCCATGTACTTGGACATGGCCTTTTCGGGATTGTTCTCAGCCAGGAACATCAAGTAGTCATCTTCATCTTTGAACTTCTCGTCTAGCGGAGGGGGTGTGGAGTGTGGGTGGCCGTGACGACTTGCAGCTTCCAGTCTCTCTCTAAATTCAGGCAGGCGAGATAGGCGATCAAAGTCGGTGGTGTCGTCGTAGGCGGCATGCGGTGGCTCTGGAGGAGTTTCGGTCATCTTGTCCAGTTCGATGTTGAGTCTGCCAAGTAGGTGGAACATTTCTTCCGTCATTATTTTCTCCTTGTACCACATGCTGCGCAAGATTCCTCTCACACGGTTTTTCACCTCCATTATGTCGCTCTGGTCGACAAAACGAGTTCTTCTGTTCAACCTCTTCTCTTCGCCTTGTTCCTTGTCTTTCTCCTGCTGCTGCTGCTGTTGCTGCTGCTGTTCGGATGATTGAGCGACTGATCTTTTGTTAAGTCTCCTTTTCATCATTTGCAGTTGTTGTTGCTGTTGTTCGATGCCACCTTCTTTCAAATCTGCAGTTGGTCACGTGTGGCGGGGATATAATTCTTAAATAAAAAGTGTAGCGTTAGTAGTAGCAGCAGTAGAAGTAGTAGTAATAGTAGTTGTGGTAGCAGCAGTTAAAGAAACAAGTTAGTCTTCTTACCATCAATGAAATTCACATCTTGAACCGACTCAGTTGGCACTGGTTGGTCTAGCAAGGAACCTTCAGGTGTTATTTACATACGTGTACGTGTAATCAATCAATCATTCATTCATTCACTCAATCTATCATTCATTCATTCATTCATTCATTTACTCATTCAACATACTTAAATCGGCTTTGGAATCTTTTTTCTGCGGAACTGTCGTTGGTTGATATAAATGGATAAATGCGAATGAATGATTGAATGAATGAATGAACGAACGAAAGATCGAACCAATGAATGAATAAATAGATGAATGAATGAAGGAATGAAAAAAAATGTTTCTAACCATTTAATAGTTGTTCTAGCTGGTCCTTCTCCATCCGAATTAATCTCTTCTTCGCCATCTCATCAGCTGCAAATAAATTATAAGCACCTAAATATAATTCATAATTGACTATGAATTATGAATCGTAATAATTAACACTTTAAATATAACAATAATAGCAACAACAACAATAAATTATGATAATAATAATTTTGCCATAATTAATGATAATATTTATGCGTGATAATCTTCATCCGAGTGTCAATAACCTTTCGTTAGTCTTTTAGCATCCGGACCGACATCTGTGGAAATTATGAATAATATTTAATAATATAATTTTAACTGTGTTAATAACAGCAATAATAATAATCGTCATAATTATCGAACCAAACTATACAACCAAATCAAGCAATAAATCGGGAAACTAGCCCACAAAGTCGAAACTTACTCTCACAAGTGGTGCAATACAGGGCATCGTCTTTTTCGTCGTCATCGTCTGCTTTTTTCCCGCCAAGAACGATCCAGAATTTTTCGCCACCATTGTCATCGTCGTCGTCTTCATGGTCATTTTTCTTCATGGCTTTCAGGAAGATTTTATTGTCGCCAGCATTTTCGCTGTCTGCCTCAAATTTCTGATTATTCTCGTCAACTTTTATCGGCCTGAACAGTTTGGCTGGCTTGGGGACAACTGATTGGTTGGTTGATTAGATGAATTATCGGAAGGATTCATTGATTGGTTGGTTGGTTGTTTGATTATGAAGAATCGAATGGTTATAGGAATAAACTTTCTAGACGAACAGTCAAAAAAAACAATCAGTCAAACACAGAGTGACAAGAAAACAAACACAATAACAGACCAGATTGTTGTTGTTGTTGCCTGTGCGAGTCAACAGCAGCATCTTTAGTTGCTGCAACATTTGTAGAAGAAGCATTTTGGCTGTTGGGGTTGTTTTTTACAGTAGAACATCTCCACCAAAGACTGTCATTGGTGCCGAAGTAACCTTTACTAGAAATTACTTTGAATTTTAGTTCGCCGACTGGCTCCTCGTTTGTGGTTGCTGGTTGTTGCTGTGGCTGCTGCTGTGGCTGGCTCACTAAAATCTTTTTAAAAAAAATGAATGAATGATTTTAACGACCCAAACTTCGAAACGACTGTTAGAGCGACAATTACAATTATAAAGACGAACGAAACATCAACAAAAAGAGACAAAGAAATCAACAAAACCACAACAAAAACTTCAACAAAAAACGCCGAAAATACCAACACTCAAGCAGTGGTCGCCGTATGGCACATCGAAGGAATACTTTCCAACTGATGTCTTCCCGCTGTTCATGCTGCTGTAAGCAAGTGTCGTTTCGTCTAACAGCAGCTCCAGACGTCCACTGGCTTTTATTACTATACCTAAATTTATATAGGTTGGAGGGAATTCATTGTTTGGTTGACAGAATGAATACATTCAATGTATGTATGTATGAATGTATGTATGTATGAATGTATGTATGTATGAATGTATGTATGTGTGCATGCATGAATGAATGAATGATCGATTGACCACTGAACTTCGTTACCCACTTTCAGAGCTAGGACTGACGGCAGCATCTGCATTTGATGCTGGCGGGAGTTGGTTATCTCTGGCGTGTCTTACCGTTGCATCGTCTTAATTAATTTTCAATTAAGATTTTACTCAACTCAATTTTTAATTCAAAGTCAATTTAATTTTTAATCAACTTGTAAATGGATTATTTTTTTAACGTAGATGTTTAAAAAATTGAACTATCGACACGGTGGAAATGATCGTTTAAAGAGTATTATATATATATATATATATATATATATATATATATATATATATAATATAATAGTATATAATATAATAATAATAATAAATAGAAGCACGCCTGCCGATGCAACACACCTTTCTCTATCTGCAGTTGGCTCTTCTCCTTCTCCTCCTGTCCTTGCCCTGTCTTCAACGAAATCAGCTTGTGCGCTGGCAAGAAAGAAATAACAATCATCATCATCATCGCCATCATCATCATCGTCGTCGTCATCGTCACTAACGTATGAGATATCTGCAGTACATCTGCTTGCTCCACGGGTGCTCTCCACTCCAGATGAACGAATTCGGAACGCCGTCATCGTTATTAACGGCAGCGCCGCCTCGGTGGTTACGATGATGATGATTGTTGACATCATTATCAGTACTTAGGCCACGAGCGGAAACATCGTTATCAGGATGAGCGCGATTTATCTTCTCCATCTTGTAGAGCGTGGCGTCCTTCCACATCTTGTCGTAGTAGTGAATCGTCTGCCAGGGTTCAGCGGCTCCACCACGAGTGGCGCCAACGTTATCCACACACTTCCATCTACTCGCCACGCCGTCCGCGGTTTCGACTGCAGCTGTCGCGGCCGTATTTTCAACGCCGCGTTTTTTTCTTTCTTCAGATTTTTTCTTCTCCTTCTCTTCGCTACTCAGAGCAGCTGCTGCACTGCTGCTGCTGCCGTCCTCGTCATCATCAATTTCAGATTTATGGTCGCCGGCGGATGGAAGCATCGTTGACGGCAGGGTTGAGATTCTACCGTCTTCAGATTCAACGTACAGGCCGAAAAATGTATCGGACAGTGATGACGGCATGGCAGGTAAATCTACAAACCAAACGTAAGAAATCGCAGTAGTAATAGTAGTAGTAGTAGTAGTAGTAGTAGTAGTAGTAGTAGTAGTAGTAGTAGTAGTAGTAGTAATTATAAAAATAATAATGGCTACATACCTCTCAAGTCCGAGGCTCTCCTGTCAACGAAAATTGACAAGACATCAGCCCTGTTGTCAATGTCTACATCAAGAATGTTTATGTTCGGTAGAGAAGTGGAGGAATGAGGTTGTTGCTGTTCTTGAGATTGTTGTGGCTGTTGCGGTTGCTGCTGTGGTGGCTGCTGCTGTGGCTGTTGATTCTCGTTGATGTTGCTGTTCAGGTTGATGTCACGCTTTTCTCGCTCATCTTTTTTCACAGTAGCGGCAAGTTTCTCAACTTTCTTCAGCTCATCCTTTTTATCAGTAAAGAAACTGCCGATGATGTTGCCAATACCACTTCCAAATTTGCTGTCATCTTTGTTGGATGAAGTCTGCTGATTGGTTGCCTGATCGACGGCCAGTTGACTGATTGGTTGATTGCTGTCGGGAGTTTGACCTAACCAGGCGCCATCTTGAAAGGCTTGGATTTTACCCTGGGCAATTATTCTTAGCCCTGGTAGGAATGTTTGTTAATTTCCATTTAAAGTAATTATGACGAGAGAGAGAGAGAGAGAGAGAGAGAGAAAGAGAGAAAATCAAAGAAGAAAATCATACAAACTCATTTTTCCAGGAAATATTTTATTCTTTAAAGGATCATAGAGGGCTCTTTTCAAAACCGGATATTTATCTGTTTGTATCAAATTTTTTTTTTAATAATTCAATTAATTTTGATTTGTCTTTCATTAATTTTTATCCTTCACAGGTCTATACTACTTAAGTTAGTGAAATATATGAATGAACAAGTGAATGAATGAAAACATAACATAAGGTACCTATAACGATCTTGCAGCTAACGTCAACTGGCAGGACATTCTCATCAGCTACGGCCAGCACACCTCTTCTCTTCCTAATCGATCTTTTCTTATTTTTAACAGCTTCCATAACGACGCCAGAGGAGACAACTTTTTCAACTTTATCAGTTGACATTTTCAGATTAAGTTTAGTGAAGCCTGCAGACCAGATGAGACGAGCATTGGAGGAAATGTTTATAGTTTCTGGATTCATACGCATTGGAAAGACCGAGAGAATGTTGTTATCAGATCCTGTTTGGTCATCTGCTGATGATGGATGGTCACTGCTGCTACTGCTGCTGCTCAACCACGTCTTCAATTCTTCTTGGGAGGAAAATTTCGATCTACACTGCCACCTTTGTTGTGGGGTTAAAAATCTTGTTATAATTTCTTTTTTTTCAGAGTTATTAGTGATTCGTTTTTATTTTATCAATTTTCACTCATTTTATTCTACATAATTCTGTAAATTATCAACATCTCAAATCTCGTTGAAACAAATTTGCCATTATCAAGTAAAAATGGTTACAAAAATTATAGAAAAAAAATCTTAGCCCAACCTATTATCAGTAAATAAAACGCCATCTGTTGTGGAAGCTAGGAGACCAACATTTGAAGGGAGAGCTCCTTTGACTTCAATTGATAGGACGTTGATTTCATCATTAAACGGCATTTGATTGACATGTGGGTGGGGCTTGTAGACGTCTCCAACTTTCCGACCATCATAGTAAACTGAAACATCTCCAGTACTCCACACATAGAGATCTGTAGTTGTTTGTTTTGTTGAAAATATAAGATTTAATATTCTAATTAATCGGTCTGATTCGATTTCAAATCAACTAGCACATTCAGCTTTCGTAGGTGGTATTCAATCTACAATCTTATCTTTCTTTGAACAGTACCTCATCATAAATGCTCTTTCCTACTCTACATGCAAGAGACGAAGGTTTTTATTAATTTAACTTGCACATTCGATATACAAAATAATAACCGAAAATCATAAAATATTACAAAAAATCAGTTCCAAATTTAAATATGAAATTATAAATCAATATTTGAATGAAAGAAATGTATCAGCTACGAACCTGATACTTTCGCTAAAGCCAAACTCTGGCAAATCGTCGACAGCAAAAAAACACGAAACATCAGTACGAAACTTCGATTTTTATAAAATTCGATCAAAATTTCAAACAAAAAGCGACCATTAAGAAGCAAAACAAGAGGTAAAACCAAATCAAATATTTAAAAACCGTTGCACTCGTAAAATATCTGCAACGTAATAATCTCAATAAATACCACAGCGCTTAACTTCCTATATTATTTTCAAATTTATTTGATATACTCACATATATATAATATATATATAATATAACATAATATACATAAATCGACAACAAAAATGTGAAAATATGTGACTTAAACAAACGAAAGCAGCCATTTTTATATATAATATGTAGCATTATTATAGCTCTATCATCGTCGTCGTTTCTTTCCCATCTTCAGTTTAGTTTCCAGCAATAACTTTTTAATTCCTAGAAAAAATTGAAAATAAATATGCCGAAAATAATCATTCTGATCATCAAAGTAGTAGTAATAATAACAATTATTATTATTATTATTTTTAACTTACCATCATTGTCATCGTCGTATATGGGCATAACAGCGTAATCTTTGAAACCAACGTTTGCTGTTGATAAGTGAAAAAAAATTATCACAAAACAATAATTCAATTCAATCAGTCAATCATTCATTCATCAATCAATCAATCAGTCAGTCAATCAATCAATCAATCATTTATGTATTCATCTATCAGTCAATTGTTTTCATTCGTTTCAGCCAATCAAGCAGCCAGGCAACTAAAAATCAATCATTCACTTAATCTTCGTTCATTCATTCATTCATCAATCAATCTACATCACTCGCTCGATATAGGATATCTGCAATACATAGTCCTAGCCCAGGACTTCTCATCATTCAGCCAAATCCAACTCAACTTTCTCTTAATTAAATCGTCCGCCATTTTATCCAATAATAATTTTTTATTACTGCTATTATTCATATTTGAGTAATTATTTTTAACAGGTTTTTTCTCATTTTTGTAGAGATATTCATTGTTTTTGTTGTCATTAGCACCGACATTGCCAACTTTTTTGATAATCATATCATCGCCATCATTAACGTTTACAGCAAATCTATTTGCTACATAATTAAAGATATTATCATATGATAACTTGACCGCATCATCGACGTCATCATCATTATTATAATTAGTATCATTCCCCTTCATTTTCATCAATATCTCGCCTAGAGATAGTAATTTAAGAGAAGGTTTAGTCCAATAAAAATCCGCGAATCCTATTCGCTGCCAGCTCTCTGAAGCACTGCCCCTAGTACGACCCACTGTGTTGGTGCACAGCCAATCAGGGGAGACATCATTGTTAGCATTGCGTGTGCTTACGCCTATGTAGTTATCGTGAATGCCTTTGTTGTTGTTGTTGTTGTTGTTCATACCGTTGTTTATGTAGTGGCTTGATGGAGAGTCATCATCATCGTTAATGTCGATTTTATAGTTGTCATCATCATCATTATTGTTGCTGATTTTTATAAAGTTATAAGGTTCAATAGCTATGCCGAAAATTTCTTGTGAAAATAAACTTGCTTTAAAAGACCTAACATCACTATGATTGCTAATGAAACTTTCATTCTTATCATCACTTCTATCACGTTCAACCTGCCCGCGCAATTTATGACCTCGCCCACGTGATCTGCGACCTTGAACCTGAAGGCCCAGGTCAACTACCAGAGAGAGCATGTCGGCTTGAGGGTTTAACTCAACGTCAAAAATGTGCAACTGCTGTTGTCGTGGTTCTGGCCGATGATTTCGCCGTCCTTGGATTTGCATAGAGAACTTATTTCCCAAGCTGCCCTGTGTTGCATGTAGAGAAATGTTTCTGATGTAAATGTTACTGATGTAAATGTTACTGATGTAAATGTTACTGATGTAAATGTTACTGATGTAATTGTTACTGATGTAATTGTTACTAACGTAATTGTTAATGTAATTGTTGTTAATGTAGTAATTGTTCCTGTCAGCAGTAGGCGAACGGCCAGCCCATGCACCATCTTGAAATATTTTAATCTCGCCAAAGCCCATCACAGTCATTTCTTTGGTGGGAAAAAATATTTACATTTGACCGATTGATTGATTAATTCAGATTAATTATCAGAATTATTGTCGCTCTTACTAGCGTTAATAATTTATATAATAATAATTATAATAATAATATTAATAATAAAACAACAACAATAATACGTACTTATCCTTTTGTTAGAAAAACTCGTCACTTCATTCATCTTTTCATCCTCCAACATTCGCTTCTTTAAAATTTCATTTTCATCTTATTAAAAGAAAAATAATATAAAATCATATTTTTATTATTATATATATATATATATATTAAAATTATACTACCAATACTACTACTACTACTAATAATAATAATAATAACAACAAAAATGATAATAATGAACTTATATCACCTATATTTAAAATACAATAAGCTGTTGAACCATCATTGGAATTATTGCTATTATTGTTGTTATCGTCATCATCGTCGTCTTCATCATCATCATCTTTAACGGGCCATATAAAGCAAGCGTTTATAGATATGTTCTGCAGCATCATAGCTATGTCCTGCCTATTATTATTATTATTATTGTTGTTATCATTTTTATTGAAGTTATTATTATTATTGTTAATATTAATGTTATTACTATTATTATTAATGTTATTCTTCTCCCTCATCATCATCATCATTGTTGGAATCGAGATGACGTTCTTAGGCCTATTACCCCACTTATTATTATTGTTATTATTATTATTGTTGTTGTTGTTATTGTTATAATTGTTTTTATTATGGTTGTTGTTGTGGTGCTTTATTGTGTACCATGTATTTTTTTCATGCTTGCTTAACTTCGATTTGCATCTCCAACTGAAATAAAAATAATAATAATAATTTCGTTTGTGAATATTTGTTCAGTATCATCTTGATCTCCATCATCACAAACGGTATCATTATCAGTATTACCATCATCATCACTATCGCAATCGTCATCATCATCACCATCGTGACCTTTCATCTGTAACTATCAATCCATCTGTACTAGATGCAATGAAACCAAGATGCTGTTGTTGTTGATTATGGTGGTGATCATGATTATGATGCTGATTATGATGACGAGAATTATGATGATCATCACTAAGGCCATTGGCCAATTTATCATCATCATCATCTTTATCATTGGCTGAAATGGCTATTAATGAAATTGTTGAATTTAAAACAATCCAATAGTTATTGTTATTATTGTTATTATTATTATTATTACTACTATTGTAAATATTATTGTCGGATGATGATGTTAATAATGATGCACTCTTCATTGACAATTTCCTATTTGATGAAGATGATGATGACGACGACGATGGTGATAAAGGTATTGATGATGATGACAAAGGTATTGATGATGACGATGAGAGTGTTGATAATGATGACGGCTGATTAGTTTTTAATAGTTTTCCATCAATGTATAGTTTTACAATGCCTGGAGACCAAATGTGGAGTTCTGCCAATCAATTTTAATTTATGTTAATTATGTGCTATTATTGCTAGTATACGCTAATTTTATTTAAATATTTTTAAATTAAAATTAATTAAATTAAAGTAGAAAACATTTGATTTATTTAGTAGTTTTTGTAGTTTAGTAGTAAAGAAAGACAATTAAATAATTAAAAAATAAATGAAATGCAATATAAATAACCTGAGAAGCGAGCATGTGCAAATTGGCAACCAAAAATTAATAAAATTTGAATAAATTTTAGCATTTTGACACGAAATTTGATATCAATTTTATATTTAAAACGATTTTTTACAAAAGAAATCGGTAAAGGACCGCCGAAATTTGAAATAGAGAACGCTTAAAAACTAACTTAAATTTGAAGACAACAACCTGTCGCCAAAAACATTAAATGGATTTAAACCGTTTGTAAAGTCAATCAATTAATCAATTAGTTTATAAAGCGCTGTTTTCGCGATGTTCAACAGCGCTCCTCAATGAATTTTGCTAACAGATGGGTCTTGAGATCCGCTCTGAACTTTGTAAGTGATGGAGAAGTAGTCAGAGAAGGAGGTAGAGAGTTCCAGAGAGAAGGGCCAGAAAGAAAGTAAAACTTGTTCTCATCATATAACAGTTTTAACGGTTCAACGAAAGTTTTGTCAAAAGAACGCGCACAAACACACATACAAACACACGCATACGCACATACACACGCATACATAGAGGCACAAATACATATGTGTAAATAATAGATAAACTATAGATTTTTTTATTACTCAAAAATTGCAATCGAATCGAATAATAATTGTACGCCAGTTACATAATTAACTAATCGGAATTTCGATTTTTGACGTCATCGTCATTAACATCATTGTTTCATCACCATCTCATCAACAACATCATCATCATCCTCATCATCTTCGTCATCCTCTATTTTTACATCCGCAACTTGGAAGACGTTTTGTAGTAGGAACAGGAGTGGTAGTAGATGAAGCAACTACAACAACATCGCCAGCCACGTTGTCTGAAGAGCTGGACTGCTGATTAACGACTGGCTCCGAAATTGGTTCAGACCTGATTTTAGTGATGGTGATGATCAAGATGGAGATGATTAAAAATGATGATGATTTTGAAAAGTTCATTTTTGATGTGCTCTTTTTTAGTTTGGTTGATGTTAATGACGTTGTTTCTATCCGTAATGGGTGACTTTGTTTGCAGTTGATATTCTTGATAATGATGCTGCTGCTGCCGCTAATATTGTTGATGATGATAAGAACAAAATTCGAACTCAGCTATGCGAAGAATTAGTTTGGTTCTCTCAACGAATTAACTCCCTTTCTTCATGGCGTTGGCAGATTGTGTAGAATATATTTAAAAAAATCATTTTATAAAATTGTTTATTTATTAATAAGATCATCAAAAATATGAAAATAACAATAATAACAATATTAATAACAACAATAATAATCACAACGGCAATGCATTTACATACGTAAATCAGGTAAAAATCAATTTAAGCCAACATAAGGTACCATGAATTTATTATTCAACAAAACGAATAAATAAAAATATCTAACACACTAACTGTAGTTTTTATACACTTATTATAATTTTAAATACTATTATTACATAAAAACAACTTAATTCTGAATTGGAAATATTAAATGAACGTTAAATATGAATACCAAATAATTATTGTTAAGACGTTATTACTGTCATATATATATATATACATACACACACTACAACTCATGAGTCTAAAGTGAATAAGCTACGATGTTTCCAATTAAAGTTTTGTATTGTTATTACTCTTGCTGTTATTATTATTATTGCTATTATTATTATTGTTATTATTGATGTTGTCTTTGAGATGAACCCTGACACTGCTATTATTATTATTATTATTATTATTATTATTATTATTGTTGTTGTTGTTGTTGTTGTTATTGATGTTGTTGAGATGAACCCTGATACGTCACGCAGAGCAAAGGTGGAAAACTTTTTCCATAGCAGGAATAATAGTAATAATAATAATAATAAAATTATAATAATGATGATGATGATGATGATGATGATGATGATGATGATGTACAATTTAGAAATAGTTTTTATTTTACCGTTGTTGATTTGATTTTTGGTGAAGTTGGTGATAAAAAAAATTTACACAAACAGCCAGTAGGATAGATTTTTTAAAGCCAAAACCGAACAAAAAATATTAAATCAAAGTTCACACATACATACGTACACGCACATACATACGTACACACATATATACATACATACATACATACATACATAATTTAAAATAACGAAAATAATAATGAAAAAGAATGTTCCGAATAAATTATACATACGTCATCTTCATCTGTTGCAACGTTTCAATCTCAAGCCTTAGATTTCGATTAATTAATTAACATTAAATACGTCAGTTAAACTTATGGGTTCACAATTATTTCCTGAATTTCTCGCAGGATCACTTTCACAATCAGTTTCTTTTTGTTCTCCTTCCGTTTCAGAAACATTGCTACTTGCACCCGAGAACAACTTTTTAAAAACATCCTGATCATCGTCGCCATCCTTTAGACTGTCTTCGCGTCATTAACTAAAGAGGAGGCAACTATTCTAAGGCTACATGCCATCACCAGCACATAAATAGCTGGGGTGAAAATTTTAGTTGTAGTCATTGTCGAAGCTATGGCTGAAGATTGGACACTTTTTGGTTAATTCTATGAGTAGAAAATTGATATTATTTAGTTCGTCTAATTATTTATTAATTTAAAATTGCATTTTAAAATGTAATAATAATCGAATGTTTTGTTAGGTGGTGTGTGTCGTGACGGGAGTAGAGTATACAAGTTAATAAAACAACCTTTAGTAAGTAGAAATTATTTCAATTTCTATCAAAATATAAATTTGAATTCGATTGTGACCGACTGCAATAACACGAGAAAAGGCCTATTTACCAATATACTCTTTATTATGGGTTGAAGCAGGGATATGCAAAGAATCTCAATTTTTTCAACTTTAAATATTTTCGGTAATGTCGATTTTAATTTTATTAACTTTATACAAAATAAAAGTAATTAATTACCAAATATTACCAAGCAGTAAAATAATTACTGTTAACATGACGTCATTTCCTCCAACAATTTCGCAACGATATACCCATCCTGAGAGAGAGAATTTTTTATAGCTTTGTTTATTCCACTGCAGAGAAATTAAATTTATTGATAAAAGGATTCGGTGTTGTAGCGTCAAATTTATTTTACATGATATTCCTCTGGTGCACTTAAGCATATTATGTTGAATTTAATGTTGTTATTGATGTTGATGAAGTAACGGCATTGTTAAATGTTCTGAAAACAAAAAACGCGAATTTGTCGTAAATTTCAGCCCGCACGACGTTAAAATGTCAGTACGTGCCTACACGACCGTATACATACAAATATGACATGGCATTTGCTACAACGTGTATCCGAACCATGCAATCTCGCGACTTCTTTTCAAAACTTTCTAAGTTTACGTCAAAACATCATCTTTCAGGTTCCCTATTTAAGGTTTGAAAAAAGAAAAAATCGTAAATGAATTTTAGATAACAGACAGTTGAGACGTTTTTGTAAGGATCAAACATTTTTTCGTTCAGAAATAATTAAAACGTCAATTGAAAACTGAACTTAATATTTTTGTAGCTATCAACAAACACACATAAGAATTACATACAAATATAAAAATGTATTTTGCACATGTGTTTATAAAATAATGTAACAGAGGGAGGGAGAGAGAGTGAGAGAGAGAAAAATAGAGTCTTTATGCCTTTGTTGGACCAATGGACTGGCTTTGAAGTTTAGTGATGGTCTCTCTGAGGCTATCTTGCTTGGACTCCACCTCCTTTATAAGACCTTCATGTCGTTTGCTAGTGGGGGAGGTGTTTATGAGTGGATTTATATAATTATGAATAAAGATAATGATGACAAATATGAAGTTAAAGATAAAAAGGAATATGATATAACTATGATGGTATTTTGATGATAAGAAAGGTAATAACATAACAACAAAAAAGTCATTCTCAACACAACAAACAAACAAAAACTAACATCTCATCACTAATGTATTTGATTCTCTTTTCAACATTCTGTGTGGCCTCGACTGTATCCTGTTTAACGAGAACCGGTCCGACCAACTTGTAGACTGTCGAATCATCCTCCAATAACTTCATTTCCTAGCATAATTATTTCAATAATTATTTTTAATTTAAAAAAAAGAATAAAGAAAGTAAAATATAAAAACTAGATAATGAATGATATAATTATAATAACTAACATCTAAGACCATGTTATTCTCAGTAAGTTGAGCATCTAATTTCTGTCTAGCTGATATGTACTTCTGGTAACCTGTGTATAAATAATTTTAATATGTTATGGTACATTAACCATTTCTGCTATTCATTGATAGCATATTAATTCTAGGCACCCAGAAAGCAGATAATCACACACACACAAACACACACACGCCAGATCTCTCACGTTGGCAAACGATCAAACAAAAAACAGAACAAAATGAACTAATTTACTTGTCTGAAGTGCTTTAAATTGTTCTAATTCAGCGGCCAACTTTTTTTGAATAGCTTCCGCCATTTTTGAAAAAGAAATTAGGCGAAAAAACTGTAAGCAAAAAAATGCGACAATATCTATTTAAAAGTAAATCGAGCAAAGAAAGTTAATTTTGAAGCGCCTTCGACATTTCAATATTTTACAAGTTAAACCACAGACAATTTTTTACAAGTAACAATTTTTTACAAGCTTACTTCACTTTTTCCTATAAATAGTAAAAATATCTGAGACACCAACAGCAAAATTCAATAGTAGTTTTATTTCTTTAATAATCATTTAAAAATGGCCTCAACTAAAAATTTAATAATTACCGATAACAAATTAGATGATAACGTTGTTGAATATTTTATTTTTTCAGCTGAAAAAAATGGTGCACCGGCTTTAAATAAGTCATTTTTGAATGATGTATTTGCTTTCCTTAGTTCTCAGTGCCAGATTAGTGAATATATCTGGCAGGCTGAACCATTTAATTTGCAGATACTACCGGCTAAAGGTTTCTATTTGTTATTTCATCTTTTTCAAATTAAATTAATTAGTTTAATTAACTAATCTAATTAATTATTAAATAAATAAATTAATTATAAAATAGATAAAAATCCTCATTTTTCATTTTATCTTTTCACTATTTTTTATAATCCTAGCTAGGCTTTAGTTAGTAGTTAGTACTACTTCAGTTTAATCATTAATGCAAAAATAAAATTCACTCATTTATTTATGCTTGATTTTGATACCCCAATAAATCAGGTGATAAGCCCCAATGCTTATACGGTCGAACGTATTTTGGGGACAATGTCGACGACGAATGGTACATCGTTTACCTGCTATTTGAAATTACAAGAAAATTCAAACATCTAATTGCCAGGTTTTTATGTTTTATTATTTGAAATCTTAAATATTTATTTAAATATAAATTATGAAAATAATTATTGTCTTTGATTAAACTAATTAAAATATAAAAGTTATTATCGTGGTTCGTATTTATTAAAAGGGTAACGGATGATGATGGAGAGTTTTTATTAATTGAGTCGGCCGATCATCTACCTAATTGGTTGGAACCTGAAACTGCTGAAAATAAAGTATGTCTGATGTTGTGTTACTACTGTTAATTATTAATTAATAATAAAGTATAATGTTTTTGGATGTAATAAAATTATTTATGAATAATTTTCAGTAACATAATTTTACAGGTGTTCATTTATAATGGAAAAGTTCATATATTACCTCAAAAACTGCCTACAACAATGTCATCATCGACAACAACTTCATCATCATCAGTACCTCTGCACGGTGTAAACATTAAGCAGGCTTTATCATATATCATTGATAGTAATAATGATGATGATGACAATGAGGATACTATATCATCGTTAGCATCGACTCTGGCTTCTGATAATATGCAGAATGATATCACGAATAAGATACAAGGGTAAGAATGATGGTGATAATGATACTGAAGATGATGATTGTAGTAGTAGTGTGAATTAGAATGATAAGTTTGTACAGTCGCTAAATGAGAAGTAAAATTTTTTTGTCTTCGTTTTCTTTCCAGCTATCCTGAAAAGATCTCATCCACTTTTCACCACACGACATGTTATATTCCCGTCATTTTGGCGGCCATCTTGGATATTCATCCGACTATCGTTTCTTCCCTCGTTCGAGCTTTCTACGAAAGAGATGCCCTGGATTTGAAGGTTGTTATGTGTTAACTTTCGTGACGACGACGACGATGATGATAGTGAAAATGTCGTTGATAATTTTTTGTCTGATGTCTTAATTTTGGTGTGATTCATTATAATTATATTATAGTTTATATAATTATTATGAACCTTTTTGTCATCATATTCATGATCTCGTCCTTGTAATCATTACTGTCATCATCGTCGTAATCGTCATCAACACCACCACCAATATCATCATCATCGTCGTCGTCATCATCATCATCATCATTTTTGTGTTAGGTGAATTACTAAGGAGTGTGTATAATAATAATAATAATTATAATAATAATAATAATTTTCAGTTCTGTGTGACGTTCAAGCACTTTCAGCCTGGTACAAGGGTCATGAAGAGGGTTGGTTGCAAGCAGTTAACAACATTCAGCTAATCATCATCATCCTCATCATCAGTTTCTTAATCATCGTCATCATCAGCGTCAGTTAATCACCACCACCATCATCATCCAGGTAAAACTGACCAGGTGCTTGTATGCACAACTCACGCAGCAGGACTTTCAAGCTGATATCAGAAGCGGATACCAACATCATCATCGTCATCATCATCATCATCGGCCAGAGCAAAAAGTTATCAACTCGAAATTCAAGGCATACGACCTTGGTTCAAAGCTGGTATTGCCATTGTTATTATCATCCATTATCTGTTACTCTGACGGTCGTTTTTATATATATAATTTTTAAGTGGAGTTTTTTAATTTTTTAAATAAAAATACGTGATGTATATTATTAAATATTATATATAAAGTCTCTTATTAAAAATAATTATTATTATTAAGTATTATTATTGTCAAAGGCCCATGGAGCTGAGATACTATGCAGAAACGAGGAAAGTCTAAAAATAACAACGTTGGGGAATTCCAGGTTTGCTATTTATAGTTTATAACAATAATAATAAATAATATTAATAATAAATAATATATATCAAGAATATAATAATAGTAATAATTTATGATGATTAAAGTGATGGTGATGATATTCACGAGAAGTTCGACTCGGATGAAAGTTGGCTCAAGTTCTTGAAGAAGCTAGAAGATAGCGGCTACTTTAGGGTAAGTGATGGTGACGACGACGATGACGCTGTTGCTGATGATGATAGTGATGGTGATCATAGTAATGATGATAGTGATGTGAGTGATGATAGTTATGATTATGATTAAAATGAAAGATATGACAATAAAAAAAACATATTGACGAAGACAATGTGTATGTAGCCGGAATTTTTAACGATGCTGATGATGACGATAATCATTATATTTATTATCCTTATAAAATTATAATTATAATAAAATAATTATATATTAAAATAATAATTATAGGATGAATTGAAAGACTCGAAGCGTTATAGAGAGCTGTACGAATCGAGTAAATCATTTTTCGTCAACTCCATTTTACCAACAATGTAAGTTGAAGTGATGATGACGACGATGTAGACGATGATGATGATGATGTTGGTGATGACGGTTAATTTTTACATTATCTTCATTAAATAGGATGAATATAAGAGAGTCAGCGAGCCAACAACATCCTCAACAACAACAACAGAATTCACATTTCAATAATGACGCCGATACGTCTAAAGGCACCAACGACAACGACAAAGACATCAACAACAAAGACATCAACATCAATAACAACAACAGCAGCAGCAGCTGCGTTACTAGCAACAGCGTCAACAAAAACGCTGGCAAGATAATGTTAACGTTGTTGAAATCCACTGTGGTTGATGTCGAAGCGATGAAAAAAGAATCAGAAAATATCCCATCTTCTGATGGCTAGTTGTGGTGATGATAAGGATGGATAGTGATGATGATGATGATGATTATTATTATTAGTATTATCATGATGATGTTGATAATGATTATGGTGACGACGACGACGACGATGATGATGATTATTATTATTATGATGTTGATAATGATTATGACGACGATGATGATGGTTTTGTAACAAGCAACATCATCACTACTACCCCTCAGATGAGAGTTGGATGAACATAGGACCCGACGACTTGGAAGAGATTCTGAAAAAATACTCTCAAAAAAACAACAACAACAATAATAATAAAAAGAAAAATAATAAGAATAAAAATATAGGCAAGAACAACATCAAAATTAACGAAAGCAACAGTAACATGTATAACAATGAGTGTGATGATGGTGCCAGTAGCACTAGTAGTGATGATGATGGCGATGATTATGAGGATGATCTGATCAAAGGTACGCGCGGCCTTGACCTAATTACCGACAAGGTCAAATCTTTTCTGGGTCAAAGTTCGGATTACTCCGGGGTGGATAATTGTTTTCAGGCTAGGTCAGTTTCAGTTGGGTCGAATTTAAGGTTGATTTTCGCTTTTTCAATTTTCATTTTGATATGAATAACAATAATAAAAAAATAAAAATAAAATAATATTACAAATAATAATAATAATAATGATAAAATAATATTACAATTATAAATAATCAGCAAGGGGAGCTCACATGTTAATAGCAAGGACGGCTTTTTGAAATCCATGCAGAATGTATTTGGTGAGTAAAATTATTCATAATATTTATTATTATTATTATTACCACTAATTATTATTATTTCTTATTATTTATTATCACTATTATTAATTATAAATTATTCATTTATAAATTCATTAATTTGAACAGAGCTTGATGACCTGACGACGAGTTCATCCGATGGTGACCTAGATGCCTATGCCGACGACGACGACGATGATGACGACAGCCATAATAATAATAATAATAACAACAACAACAATAATAATAATAACACCAATAACCACGGTAATGATGATGGTAATGATGAAATATTTAGGAAAATTGAGGAGATAATGACGTCGAAGAGAGAGTTCGATAGTCTGAGCACGAATAAAAAAGTGGCTAATAATAATAATAAGATGAATAATAATAATATAAATAATAATAATAAAAAAAATACTATTACTACTACTACTACTAATAATAATAATAATAATAACAATAATAATAATAAGACTGCTATACGTGGTAAACTGCCATCTAAAATAGTAAACTCCAAATTGAACACTGCCCTATTCGCTAAGATGTCAATTAATAATAATAATAATAAATTTGGTAAAAGTACTGATAGTAGTGGAAGTAGAGGTTCTAATGGTAGTAGTAGTAACTGTGTTAATGGTAGTAATGATACTAGTATAAAAAGATCGTTAATAGAAGATCTCAACGAATCTAACAAAGGCGACTTCAAAATTTCCAAAAATGACGTCACCAGTAAAAAGTTCAAAGATGGCGGTTCTATAAATGGTGATTCCAAAAACAGCAAATCTAAAAATAGCTCATTCGACATGGCCAACTATATGGAGATGATGGACAGAGAGCTAAAAGCCACTAACATAGGAAAGAGCTTCAAACCTTACTCTGATTGGTCTGTTTGGATTTTAATTTATTAAAATTTATATTAATTTTTGCAAATTTTGTAATCTATTTAGAGACGCACCGAATTTTTGGCCGAAATTTCGCATCCGGCTTTGTGCAAATTCCGCTTAAGCCATAAAGTAGTTAATCATTGAGTATTATTCTAATCCTATTAAATCATTATTGATTCAAAGTAATTATTAACAATAAAACATTCCTTCATTCATTAGCAAGAAGAACAGCAATCAAACTCCTGGTGTAAGATACAAATTCTGTGATGACGACGACGACGACGATGATGGCGATGATAACAAAGAGGATGATGATGATGATGAATTCAATCCGGTAGACGTGGATTTGAACCTGGTGGAGAACCTTTTAAAATCTTACAACGCTCAGCATGGTGTCCCAGGTCCTTCCACTACGTTATTAGAAAGTATCGGCCTCCCCTTGCATCGATACCCTGCCAATAAAGATGGAAACGAATTGTGATTGGCTGAGTGAATGCTGTGGGGGTGGGGTTATTTATTGATCTGGATTGTGATTGGTTGAGTAGTTAGGTGAATAATAATAAGTTATTCGTTTACATGGATTTTGATTGGCTGAGTCTTGGTTAAGAAAATGTTAAGAGTTTGCTTTGCTAACAAACTAAATGAGGAACTTGTTAATAGAATTTTAAAGATGATGATCTATATTTTTATGAATAGCTTATCATTCAATATTATATGTTCTGCTTCTATCTGCCCACACACACACACACACACACACACACACACACACACACACACACACACACACACACACAACCACATATATAAATACACGAGCCTACACATTTTTGTAGCAGCAAGCTTTGTGGATGTGATTTCAATGTTATCGACGTTATGTTTATACGTATAAATAAAATATCTGTTATATAACATTAAACGTGTTTGTTCTTATTAATACAATATTGCTAATATGCTACCAATAAACACAATACATACATAGAAATATGAATATATATGTATAATATATATATATATATAATTCATTTTAGTTGGTGTAACTTCAAAAGTTTGAAGTATATGACAGTTGAACCACCTGGAACTACGAAGAAATGTAATAAAAGTAGAAAATGTTTGGTATAAGATGTTAGAGCGCGCCCACATTAGCATAATTCATGAATAAAATTATCATAATTAATGCGAGGTGTTAATTTTTTTTGTTATTTTTTCAAGTAGTTAATTATTCTCGATGACGTCATCGATCCATTTCCTGTAGGCGGAGACCCTCGTGAAAACACCAGGTACTGCGCCTGGGTGAATGGTTAGACGAACGAATGAATTAATGAATGGATGGGTAGACAGATTGATGGTTGAATGAATTAGTGAATGTATTGATTGATGATTGGATAAATCGAAAAACGAATGAGTGGATCAATCAATCCATCATCCCATTAACAAAATTCTCATTCATTCATTCAATCAATCACGCGCTAACCCGGACTAATTTTACTTGAGAAGGAAGCCACCCCTACTTGAATCCATTCATCGCCCAGTTTGCAGACCAGGGGTCCACCGCTGTCGCCCTTCAAAATATTCATTGCTGCGCTATATCATTTTTTAAAAATGATCCTGTCCGGATACATGTCCCACAAGTAAAACTCAATACAGAACTTAATCTAAACATAACTCATTTATCTATCAACCAATGGGTTAATCCATCTATCCACTAAAAAAATCCGGTAAAAAACAAACCGGACATAATCCGGCATCCGTTCCATCATCACTTCCGGCACACAATCGATTATCGGTCGGTAATTGCCAGACGGATCTACATCTATTATCGCTCAAAGTCGGCATTATAACCTCCCTGGCTACGCTTGTTACTGGGCCCCCTAGATATGTAGTACGTGTGTGTTTGTTTGTATGTGTTTGTTTGCATGTGTGTGTGTGTGTGTGTCTTTGTGTGCGTGTGCATGTATTAAGACCTGAACTGGTACATCCCCATCCCTTCATAATACACGGATGATTGTCCGGGATTTTGTGATTAGGATTGCTGGAGTTCTGTAGTACTATTGTTCCTATTCTTGGCTAAATTGACAAATGAATGAATGAATGTGTGAATGAACGAACGAACGAATGAAGAAATGATTGATTGATTGATTGATTGATTTGATTGATTGATTGATTGATTGATTGATTGATTGATTGATTGATTGATTGATTGATTGATTGATTGATTGATTGATTGATTGATTGATTGATTGATTGATTGATTGATTGATTGATTGATTGATTGATTGATTGATTGATTGATTGATTGATTGATTGATTGATTGATTGATTGATTGATTGATTGATTGATTGATTGATTGATTGATTGATTGGACAAACAAACGAATGAACTACAAACATTTTTTATCATCGGAGATTCATTGTTATCGTTATTGAAAATTTTCTGAACAGCGTCGTGCGATGATGAAACAATTTTTTGGAAAAAACTTCCATTATCATCATCGTCGTCATCGTCGTCATTTTGGCTTTTTTTAGGCGCGGGAATCTCCAATGGAAGATCAGATTCCAATTTCATCAGAGCTATGTCGTTGATGAAGCGATCTGATTGGTTGATTGATTTATTAACGATGCGATTTTAATGGCTAATTGAGAGCAGAGTTTTACATAATTTACAAGAACACATCTTAGTAATACGAAAAAAACACTAAATTTATATAAAAAGACCATATAAAGATACCAAAAATCTCACTTTGTTCAGTGTAATTAGGATGAATTAAGATCTTGGAGCCGTGTAGATAATATCTTTTCCAATCGTCAACATTCAACAACTTTCCAGCCAAACCTCGTATTCTTTGGCTCATGGTGTTCTGTTAATTAAGTAATAGTTATAGTTGAGTACAATTAAGACATTATATAGTTATTGTAATTAATTATAATGCGTTTCTACACCTACCTCTGCCATAATCTCTCCCACTTTGGCGTGCCAATATTTCGGCTTAAGATAAGTTGCGCTGAAATGAAAGATATACATTTAGGATAATTCGTCTGCTTCATTTTCTCTCACTCTCTCTTTCTCTCTTGTATCATACAAAAGTATCAACAGCCAACATACAGACATACACAGAGCAGGCATATGAATACGCGTCAATCAGTGCTTTACAGACACACACACACGCACATCTTGTGTATGATAGCAAAACAACCAAGCTACTGCAACACAGAACCAAGCGCCTCTCACCTTTTCACCATCTTCTCATCTTATTTCCACAGAATCACCACAAACTAAAAAAAGAACACTTACTCAAAGGTAGGATTATTTTCTTTATCAAATTTTTGAAAGCAATGAGCAGCCGTCAAAATCCATCTCTTGTGTATCAGGGATGCACCACAGTGTATGAACTTGTATTCGATCGGTATTCCGAATATTTTTGTCTTCGGTATTTTGCCCTGAAGCGATACCAGCCACGGCCACTTCTGCCGATCGGCTACTGTGGTACCACCAGTTAATCTTTTTGATCTTTTCAGTATGCTGCTATTATGGTATTTGGTTGGATGGTTGGTGGGTTGTTGTGGTATTGTTGGCTCTGTGGTGACGATGATGAAAATGATGGTGAAGATGATGATGACGGTGACAAAAATGGTGACGAAGAAAACAAAAAGATGACAACAACCTTGGCTTCTCCGATTCCATTACGTTGGATAGAGAGGATGACTTTTCCAACTTCCCATTCCAAATGACGTCACGTCTCTTTCGAGATGAATTTTCAGTTTCAGTTTCATTACTTTCATTATCGTTGTTAGTTATATTTGTCAAAAACTCCTTAGCAGTTGGATCCAATTTATTTATTACTTTTATTAGAGTAGAGTTGATGAAATCAGCTGACAAATCCATGGTATAATTGTCAATTAAATTTTCAGTCCGAACAAAGAAGCTACGAAGAGCACCATTCAGACCGTTGAAAGAGCTATTTATATCACTCTTCAAATTTTCAAAATTTTCCGTGATATTTGGCAGCAGTGAGGTTATGTCCTCTGTTAGATTTTGAAAGAAGACTTTATTTGTCTCAACCAAATTTGTCAAATTCACCGAATAACTCGTCGTTAGGTTTCTCAATGAATTCAAATTATTTCCGTAAATGTTTGTGAGGTTGTTGTTGAAGTTGGGCGGTTTGAGGTTAATAGTCCAATTGTTATTTATAAATGTAAGGTTTGCCAAATTTCTCTCAATACCATCTTGAACGTTTTTTGAAAAGCTGATAAGTTGCCTGAAAGAATTTGCAAATAAATTTGTCAAATTCATTGAATTTGGTGTCTGCGGTGACAAAATGTGTGTCGGGTTGTCTGTAACTTCTCTCTTTCTTCTTCTACCGACTGCATCGTCAGCATCATCTTTCCAACTTCTGCCATCTGGCAGACCATCATAACCTTCATCATTCCATTTTACATCATCATCTTCTCTTTTGTAAATTACCTGTGGTGATTTGAAGGATGATAATAATGATGGCGATGATGATGGTGTCGGTGTTGATGGTGATGACAAATTATCAACTTCAGACTCGTTTTCGTTATCATCATGGCGAATCTTTTTTGTGGAAAGTATGCGCGAATTTGAACGTGGATGCGAATGGTATCTCATACTTTCGCGCCCCTTTTTATTTTCGAAAACTCCGCCGTTGTACAATTTTTTTCTAATTAGAAAATTATTTCCAATTCCGAGGTTGTCGTCATTTTGAGATATTTTGTCATTAATGTTTCTCTTGCTGCTGTTGTCGATGTGGTTGTTGTTAGAATTACCATGTCTGCGTCTGCTTAGATGCAGTCGTTTTGACATATGTCCGTTCCGCAAATTGGTTAGTGGCAGCAGTTCGGTAGTATGGGGCATTAAAAAACTCTCGTCGTATTTTTGAAATCTGTGATCCATATTTCTGAGTCTGGTTTTTTTAATTTTGTTGTTGATGCTGTCATTTCTCGTGCGTCTATCTCTTGTTCTCTGTTTTAGTCTGTCGTCGCTGATGTCGTTGGTGACGCCGCCGTCGTTGCTGCTACTGCTACAATTGTCGTTACTGCCGTCTTCATTTATTGAAGGCTGGCAATTCGTTTTAAATAATCTATCATAAATCTTGTTGAAATCATCGTCGACGATTCTATGTTGTAGGTTAAACCTGTGCCTACGTTCAACCATACTTTTGTAGCGGTTGTGGCTGAATTTTTTGTTGAGAGCTTTTTGTTCGTCGGCTGATTTGTCGTACTTCATAAGTTGATCTTCGTTATTTTCTGTTGCATTTCTGTTGTTGTTGACGTTGTTGACGATGTCATGTCTCTCAGTAGCAAGTGATGAAAGTTTAGCCGAATGAAGTGCTGGTTTCAGTTTAGTATAAATAACATAATCGTCGTCGTCGTCACCACCACTCCAATCATCATCATGGTCGTTATAAATGTCATTATTGTTAATGTAATTGATGTTTTTGACATTGTTTCGGGCTGTTGTTTTAACTATCAGTGTCATCATAAGAAATAGCAGAGTTAGGACCATGATGTAATCTATAACGATCAATTTATTTCTTGACTTTCGAAACATCCTCGCAAGAAATATTTCAATTTTTCTGCTACTACCAATCGTCTTGGTGATATTGATGAGATTATTATTGCTGGTTGATTGGGCTGACTGACAGCTTTCAAGTACCTCCTGACTCTTTTGCCTATACAATACAATTTTTCCACCGAATAATAACAGTCAGTCAAACGGAGCACATCACGCAATAATAAAAATAATAACAACAATAACAATAATAACAACAACAATTAACAATTATTAATACTATTAATTATTTTATATAAAAAAATGATTTCAATCAAAGAGCCGGAGAAATATTGTTAACTTACTTGCATGCAATTTGATGAAATGGAGAAAGTTAGGGTATATATATATATATATATATATATATATATATATATATATATATATATACATACATACATACATATACATACATATATATATATAGTAATAACAATAAGAATAATAAATATTAAAAAAAATAATAAAATTCTGAAGAAAGATAAACTTGTTTCCATTTAACGAGTCTCAAAGATTAAGATCCAAAGGTTGAAACAGATAAATGAATGATAAAAATAATAAATTCGTTGTTGTTTGTTTGCCATATGGGTTTTCATGTATATACTGGATGACCCAAATATTATTGTTGTTAATAATCACAACGACAATAATAATCGTAATAATAATAATAGTTATTATTATTCATACTTTGCCTTTGAACGTTCTCTCGTACCATCTTTAAAAAAATTTACGGTAAATGTTTTCATTAGTGAAAAGGCTGAAAAATTTGTGATCAAATTATTTTTTAGTGTTAATCATTCCTTCATTCAGTTATTCAATCAATCAGTCAGTCAGTCAGTCAGTCAGTCAGTCAGTCAGTCAGTCAGTCAGTCAGTCAGTCAGTCAGTCAGTCAGTCAGTCAGTCAGTCAGTCAGTCAGTCAGTCAGTCAGTCAGTCAGTCAGTCAGTCAGTCAGTCAGTCAGTCAGTCAGTCAGTCAGTCAGTCAGTCAGTCAGTCAGTCAGTCAGTCAGTCAGTCAGTCAGTCAGTCAGTCAGTCAGTCAGTCAGTCAGTCAGTCAGTCAGTCAGTCAGTCAGTCAGTCAGTCAGTCAGTCAGTCAGTCAGTCAGTCAGTCAGTCAGTCAGTCAGTCAGTCAGTCAGTCAGTCAGTCAGTCAGTCAGTCAGTCCGTCGGTCGGTCGGTCGGTCGGTCGGTCGGTCGGTCGGTCGGTCGGTCGGTCGGTCGGTCGGTCGGTCGGTCGGTCAGTCAGTCAGTCAGTCAGTCAGTCAGTCAGTCAGTCAGTCAGTCAGTCAGTCAGTCAGTCAGTCAGTTAAGCAAGGTGTGGTCTCAAACTATTTTGAATTCTCCCCGAAAAATTGAACTGCGTGCGTACATATATAGTAATGGCTACTGTTGTTTTTTATAATGAATTTATAAAATATATAAATATAGCGAGCAAAATATTAACATAGAAGCGCTTATAAATCTATGCATATTGGCTCAGCTTGGCTTGGAATCGGATGTTAAGCAAGGTGTGGTCTCAAACTATTTTGAATTCTCACCGAAAAATTTGAACTGCGTGCGTACATATATAGTAATGGCTACTGTTGTTTTTTATAATGAATTTATAAAATATATAAATATAGTGAGCAAAATATTAACATAAGAGCGCTTTTAAATCTATGCATATTGGCTCAGCTTGGCTTGGCTCGGCTTGGAATCGGATGTTAAGCAAGGTGTGGTCTCAAACTATTTTGAATTCTCCCAGAAAAATTTGAACTGCGGCGCACAGCACTGATTACTCTTGTTTTTATAATGAATTTGTATGATATATATATATGTGTGTGTGTAAATATTATATATATATATATATATATAACTATAATTCCTGTATACAAACAATTAATAAGATTATATGTTTATATAAAAAGCAATATAGCAGATTCAACCAGCTAATCAGAAAGTTTCGAAGGCGTTCGTTCGATGACGTCAATTTAGTACGGTTAGCATTGTTGTTAAGACTGTATAATAGTGTAGTACATACATTAAATAAGTTTTTTACTGATGTGAATGATTGGAATGATGGAAATGTATGGTGGAAACGAGTATAAATAGTGGCTGAGACGACATGAAAATCAGATCAGGCATTCTGCCTCGCTTGAAGCAGTCTGTCTGATCTCACTTTTTTTATTTTTATAATTTATTTATTTTTATTTATTTTATTATATAAGAGTTATATAGAGTTTGCATGTCTGTGGCTTGTGTGTTTGTATGTTGTATTTTTTTATATTTTAGGGGGGTTCTTTAGCGGTTGCTCATGCATACATACATACATACATACATATATCATGTTTGTTTATGTGGTAGTATTTTATGTTCTGTTTTACTCCTTTTTCTCTTTCTTCATGAGTCTTAAGTTAAGTTAATGAAACATAGGTAGGTGAGATTTAAAATTAATTTATTATATAGGTAGGCTAGGGCATAAGGCAATTTAGTTACATAGGTAGGTTAGGGACTTCTATTCTATTACTCTACTTGGTGGTGTGTTTTTTGTTTTGTGTGTTTTTTTGTTTTGTTTCACACCATACATATAACAGGTACGCGGTGGTTCCTGGTTTTAGTGGGTTTTTTATTGATTGAATGGGGTAGTATGCATGGTTATATAGAGTTATATAGAGTTATATAGAGTTATATAGAGTTATATAGAGTTATATAGAGTTATATAGAGTTATATAGAGTTATATAGAGTTATATAGAGTTATATAGAGTTATATAGAGTTATATAGAGTTATATAGAGTTATATAGAGTTATATAGAGTTATATAGAGTTATATAGAGTTATATAGAGTTATATAGAGTTATATAGAGTTATATAGAGTTATATAGAGTTATATAGAGTTATATAGAGTTATATAGAGTTATATAGAGTTATATAGAGTTATATAGAGTTATATAGAGTTATATAGAG